AGTGGCCGCTCCCGGCCACCGCAGCCTCGGCCTGCTGGGCTCCGGCAATCCTTCTGCCTCCGTCTTCCAAGTAGCTGGAACTACAGGCGTGCGAGACCGCGCCCAGTTGATTTTTTTTTTTTTGATTTATTGTAGAGATGAAGTCTTGCTGCCCAGGCGGGTCTTGAACCCATGGGCTCAGGCAAGCCATTCACCTCAGACTCCCAAAGGCGCAGGATTACAGGCTGAGCCACTGAGCCCGGCTTGTCTGCTTCAATTTATTCCTGTATCCCATCAGACTGGATAAGTGCCATGTACTTAGTAGACAATGATTTACTGTGTGAATGAATGAATGAAATTGTTGGGTAATAAAGCATATGTATTTTCAACTTCATAGATTACCAAATTGCTTTCCAAAGTGCTTGTACCAATTATGTACTAATGTCAGTCTTTAAAATCTTTTAAAATAGATACAGCACAGTACTGCAACCTGGTTTTAATCTTTTAATGAGTCGAAGTCTCTGTTGCCCAGGCTGGAGTGCAGTGGCACACTCACCACTACCTCAGCCTCGACCTGCTGTGCTAAGCCGATCCTTTCACCTCAGTCTTCCAAGTAGCTGGAACTACAGGCGTGTGCCACCACACCTGGCTAATTTTTCTTGATTTATTGTAGAGATGAGGTCTCGTCAATTTGCCCAGGTTGGTCTCAAATCCCTGGGCTCAGGCAATCCTCTCACCTCCACTTCCCAAAGTGCTGGGATTGACAGCCAACTTGGTTTTAATCTTTAATTTACCTGATTACTGATGATGCTGACATCTTTTCATACGTTTCACTACGAATGATGCTTCCCCTTTATGAACTGCACGTTCGTATGATTTGCCTATTTTTCTTTCAGCTTGTCATTTTCTTCTTGAATTATGGTCTTTACACACACACACACACACACACACACACACACACACACACACTCACACACTCACATGTGTTGCAAATATTTTCTCCCATTTCGTAGCCTGTCTTTTCACATTAGTTTTAATGTCTTTTTTGCAGAGAAATTTGCATTTTTTCTGTAATTTTTTTTTTTTTTAATTCTAAAGATGAGGGATACCATTCAGGACCAGGTATACAAGTGATCATTGCACAAGCAAAGCCCAGGCTCACCTTTGGCCCCCACCCTGCTTGGCCCAAGACCAGGCACCCTTACTGATGTTGTGTCTCAGAAATGTGTTTTTTTTGTTGTTTTTTTTTTTTTTTGAGTCAGAGTCTCACTCGGTCGCCCAGACTGGAGTGCAGTAGCCACTCCCGGTCACCGCAGCCTCGCCTGCTGGGCTCCGGCGATCCTTCCGCCTCAGCCTTCCGAGTAGCCGGAATTACAGGCATGCACTACCACGCCCGGCTGATTTGTTGATTTATTGTAGAGATGAGGTCTCGCTGCCCAGGCGGGTCTCAAACCGACGGGCTCAGGCAATCCACTCACCTCAGCCTCCCAAAGGCACGGGATTACAGGCTGAGCCACCAAGCCCAGCTAGAAATGTGCATTTTTAACATGATGTAATAAATCAGTCTTCTTTTATAGTTTGTGCTTTCAGTCTCAATTATTTTAAGAACTCTTTCACTACCTGAATCATTCTTTGATAGTTTTTGTAGATTAAGTGTTGGCCAGGCACAATGGCTCATGCCTATAATCCCAACACTTTGGGAGATGAAGGCGAGAGGACTGCCTGAGTCCAGGGGTTCAAGACCAGCCTGGGCAACCTGGCGAGACTTCATCTCTACAAGAAATCAAAAAATTAGCTGGGCATAGTGGCTCATGCCTGTAGTTCCAGCTACTTGGAAGGCTGATGCGGAAGGATTGCCTGAGCCCAGCAAGTCAAGGTTGCAGTGGCCATGAGCGTGCCATGCCACTGCACTCCATCCTGGGCGACAGAGTGAGACTTTGACTCAAATAAATAAATAGGTTAAATTTTTGAATTCAAGCTGGGCTCGGTGGCGCAGCCTGTAATCCCGCACCTTTGGGAGGCTAAGGTGAGTGGACTGCCTGAGCCCACGGGTTTGAGACCCACCTGGGCAACTTGGCAAGATCTCATCTCTACAAGAAATCAAAAATCAGCCGGGCGTGGTAGTGCGTGCCTGTAATTCCGGCTACTCGGAAGGCTGAGGTGGAAGGATTGCCGGAGCCCAGCAGGTCGAGGTTGCAGTGGCCGGGAGCGGCCACTGCACTCCAGTCTGGGTGACAGAGTGAGACTCCGACTCCAAAAAAAAAATTTTTTTTGAATTCAGCAGCAATTTACTTGTGTGTATTATTGTGTATTTATTTTGTGTATTGAGGAAAGGATCTAATTTTGTTTTTTTCAATGTGAGTAACCAGAACCTCATTAGTTTAAAATGCCACTTGTGCTTCATAGCATGTTTACATGGTTGTGTGCAGGCAGAGAATATATATGTAAGAGGGTGTATCTTGCTTAATCTCCTTACTTATTTCAGTTACACTCTCTAAACAAATCAACCTAATCCAAAGGTAGCTCTTCAAATAATAAAAAAATGAAATCATTTGCCACTTCTTAAGTCTCCTTAAGGTTATACATCTCTAATTCTTTCAAAGATTCCTCCACAACAAGGTTTCTATCCTGGCTGCCATCCAGGCAGTCCTCCGGCGAAGTCCTGAGCCTTACACAGTGCTCCAGAGGTGGAACGATAAATGCAAAACATTTTTTTTCAAGCCAGCACTTTCTGAGTGCCTACCATTTGCAACGTACTCTGTTCAGCTAATTTACCTGATATTTTACTTTTGCTAATATATTTGATAATTTTTTGACATAGTATGTTCCTGGTTCGTTCTGAATTAGCAATATAATAAAGCTTTAGAATCTCTTCCAAAAACAAAACTCTAAGTCAAGTTTCATATATCATTTGGCTGTTTTCTTTCGTCTAGGCTCAAAGCTTCAAGTCTTATAAACATTTCATCTTTTTTTTTTTTTGAGTTGGAGTCTCACTCTGTCGCCCAGACTGGAGTGCAGTGGCCGCTCCCGGCCACCACAGCCTTGACCTGCTGGGCTCCGGTGATCCTTCCGCCTCAGCCTTCCAAGTAGCTGGAACTACAGGCGTGCGCTACCACATCTGGCTTATTTTTTTGATTTATTGTAGAGATGAGGTCTCGCCAAGTTGCCCAGGCGGGTCTCGAACCTGCGGGCTCAGGCAATCCACTCACCTCAGTCTCCCAAAGGCGTGGGATTACAGGCTGAGCCACCGAGCCCGGCTAACATTTCAACTTATATTAGCTCTTTCTGAATCCTGATTCTGTCACCCAACATATCAGCTATTCTCCTCTATCTGAAACTTGGTCTGGCTTACATGTTTTTTCTTCACTCAAACCTTCCATCTGTTTACAAGATGGAAAAATTCCTTTCCAAGCTTACAGACTTACAGACACAGGAGTATTAACTTCCCTATCATCAATTATCAGATTCACACCCCTCTATGTTGCCCACCAAAAGACAAATCTCTTTCTGAAATCCTGATACAGAGTATCTTTAGCGATCTTTGATATACTAACCACATCAAGAAGAAAAAAGAAAGAAAGAAAAAGAAAAAAGAGAGAAGGGAAAAAAAAGTTCAAGTTGGCAATAACTGAGGCCTTAGTGGAGCAATGCTCCTCCCAATGATCACTTCGGTTCAAAAATACCTATCTAATTAATGATTCCGGAATTCTGAAGAAAGCTGATCATCATTCTATAGCTGACTGAAAGTTCTCAAGGGTTAAAAAGCAATTAAATTATTCACTTACTTGAACATAACGGATAAAGTCATCCTTTAAAAGGGCCCTTCGCTGTATTCTGTATTCTAATTCAGAAGCCTTCCGAATGATAGCCCTGAGGAGAAAGTCATTTAAACTGTAACACTTGAAAAGAACAAACGTTAAATAACTTGGGTTTTTTTAAGTTCCTTTATTTTGAATATGTTTAAAATATTTATCAAAATATATAATTCCCAAATACAATGACCTTTCATAAGCAAGTATTCTCTTACACAGTAACTTCTGTACTCTTAAGGGCATCGGGATATATATATCTTTTTCTTTTTCTTTTTTTGAGACAGAGTCTCACACTGTCTCAAGGCTGGAGTGCAGTGGCATGCTCACAGCCACCGCAGCCTCAACCTGCTGGGCTCAGGCAATCCTTCCACCTCAGTCTTCCATGTAGCTGGAACTACAGCTGTGTGTGCCACTACGCCCAGCTAATTTTTTGATTTATTGTAGAGATGAAGTCTCGTCAAGTTGCCCAGGCAGGTCTTGAACCCCTGGGTTCAGCCAATCCTCTCTCTTCCACCTCCCAAAGTGCTGGGATCACCGGCATGAGCCACCATACCTGGCTAGGATATATTTTTAAACTTTCAAGAAAATTATCTTAATCAATTGCCAGGACCACTGACATTTCCACCAGCAAAATAAATAATGTTACACACTTTACAGTATTTTTGTGTTTTTTCTTGAGTTGGAGTCTCACTCTGTCACCCAGACTGGAGTGCAGTAGCCGCTCCCAGCCACCGCAGCCTCGACCTGCTGGGCTCCGGCAATCCTTCCACCTCAGCTTTCCGAGTAGCTGAAACTACCGGCGCGCGCTACCGCGCTGGGCTAATTTTTGATTTATTGTAGAGACGAGGTCTCGCCAACTTGCCCAGGCAGGTCTTGAACCCGCGGGCTCAGGCAATCCACTCACCTCAGCCTCCCAAAGGCACGGGATTACAGGCTGAGCCACCGAGCCCGGCTGCACTTTACAATATTTATAAATGGTATTAATAAAGACATCTTTTCCTCCAAATACAGGTCACTTAGGTTTTACTAATAATCAGATACTTTTCCTAAATTCCTCTTATTTCTGAGTTTTCAACATATAATTTTTTTAAAACCTAAACTGCATCTAAAAAGGTTTATTACTACAAATTATGACAGAAGACTCACTGTCCTTAGCTAAAAAGTGAACACAAAACAAGTTTCTATTAGGAGAATTTAATGCAAGATGTACAAGACAATTGCCTTTAGTAAAGGAAACAACATTTACTGAGCACTTTCTAGGAGTCCACACTGCTGTGTTCTCTGTTTCATTAACAAACGTTTTATGAGGCTCCTATATTCACATTTCTACATCCAGTCATTGCAAAATGACAAAATAGTCACAGAAGACCATTAAAAACTAGGCAACATAATTAACTGTAACAAATTACTGAATGCCTACTATGTGCCAAGTGCTATGGCTAGGCTCTGGGGTGGCATATGAAACTGAATTAAATGATCTCCATCTCCAACCCTAGTTAGGAAGATTTATCCACTCCTTTTGGACTGCCACTGCCCTCTGTTCGCTTCTCCAGAGCAGTAAACTCTGCTGCAACAACTTACACCTAAAGTTACCAAAATATCTGATGTGTCTCCCCCATCACTGTGGGGTAAATACAGGACATGCGCCTCGCTCCCCTTCGCCTGCTGATGACTGCTCCCTGGTCCCTGGTCAAGGCTGTCCGCATCCAGTCAAGATGTTTTGGAGGCGTGCACACCTGCTACTCAAGGTGGGGCTAAGGGGGTAAACATCCTATTCTCCCTTCTCTGCATGGCATGCTATTTTGTGTGTGTGTGTCGCTCCTCCCTGCTGGAGGGTACATAACCTCTCCCAACGTCTGCTGGGGCGGGGAGAGCTTTGTACCCACCGACGGCCATCGGGTCCCCCCGCCCCGGTAATTAATAATAAACCCATGTCTTTGCCAACCTGTCCTCCGGGTGATTTTTTTCGGAATGGGTAAACATTACGCGAGAGCCCTGTCTGACCTGGGGCTACTGCGATCCACATAGCCTGCCCTGTCAGCACCTGCCAGGTAGGGATCCTGGGTTTTACCACCCTTACAACCCCCAAGACATGGCTCCACGAAGTGCTGTCAGTATGTCTGGAGAATAAGAAATTCATTCTGAGCATCATCAAAAGCCGGCAATGAACTTCTGTCCTGCCATGTTAAGAAAAATAAACACGACTCGAGCGCTCCCGCCCTTGCCCCCGCCACCGACGCCGCAACCTGCCCTTCGCCCGCCCCAGCCCGTCGCCATCCCCTCCCCCAGGCGCCTCTCACCTAATCTCCAAAGGACTGAACAGTCCAGTGCGCTCCAGCTGTTCCAATTCGGGGAGTCGATCTTCTAGGTGTTCGTGAATTATCTCCGCCATGAGGTTCGAACTCCACAACTTAGATCCGCGCTTCTCAACCGCAGCCGACACGCACAGGAAGCACCCACCTTCTCGTTCAGGGAGGCAGCCTGAACGCTCGCACGCACCGACGTAACGTGCTCTCTAGGCACCGCCTTTTCCGCTTCCGCCGCCTCCGCCTTTGGGAAAGGCCGTTGGGCTTTTGCGGCCGCTATCGCCTCCCTGTGGCTGACTGGGAGATTCCAGGGAGAACGCCTCCCGGCCTAGGGCAGGAGGTCTCACTCACGCGGACTGGAGTGGAGGGGCGGGGCCAGGATAGGGGCGGGGCTAAATGGGCGCGCGCGTCTGGATTTGGACGCGGATCCAAAAAAGCGCCTCCGGATGTAGTGAGGTTATCTGAAAACCTGAGACGGGGTGAAATGCATTTTCCTTTCCTTTTTCTTTTCTTTTATTTTTTTTTTCTTTTTTTTGAGTCCGAGTCTCTCTCTGTCTCCTAGGCTGGAGTGCAGTGGCACGATCACGGCTACCGCAGTCTCGACCAGCTGGGCACAAGCCACCCTACCGCCTCAGCCTCCCGGGTAGCTGGAACCACAGGAGTGCGCCTCCACGCCCGGGTAATTTTTTTGATTTATTGTAGAGACGAGGTCTCGCCAAGTTGCCTAGGCTGGTCTCGAACCTCTGGACTCAGGCAATCCTCTCGCCTCGGCCTCCCAAAATGCTGGGATTACAGGCGTGAGCCACCACGCCCCGCTGTGAAATGCATTTTTTGCAGGATATTGTCTGCTTTTATTGTGCTCCCCTCCCGTGTCTTCACTTTCTAACACCAAAAACGACACAATTGCAAATGGAAGGGGATATTGCATAATAGGAGAAAACATTTCCAAAAGTCAATAATAGATAGCCTAGGGTCACTAAGGCTGGCCTGAGTACCCAAAACATTGTTTTAGCTCTCCACTATATTTGGTAAACCAGTGTGATAGGCTGGGCACGGTGGCTCACGCCTGTTAATCCCAGCATTTTGGGAGGCTGAGGCGAGAAGACTGTCTGAGTCCAGGTGTTCTGGACCAGCCTGGGCAATTTGGCGAGACCTCATGTCTACAGTTAATTTAAAAAATTAGCTGAGCATGGTGGTGCGTGCCTCATGATTCCACCTACTTGGAGGGCTGAGGCAGAAGGATCCCCTGAGCCCAGCAGGTCAAGGCCGTGGTGGTGGTGAACATGCCACTGCACTCCAGCCTGGGCGATAGAGTGAGAGCCCTATTCAAAAAAAAAAAAAAAAAAAAGATAGTATGATAACATTGGGTTTTCACGTGCCAATTAGAATCTCTGATTGGCTGATTAATTTTAAAATAGGAAAATTTATTATTTAGGTAAGTATCCTGGCTTTGTAGACGAGATCTTTCTTTTTCTTTGAGTCAGAGTCTCACTCTGTAACCCAGGCTGGAGTGCAGTGGCACACTCACAGCCACCACAGCCTTCACCTACTGAGCTCAAACAATCCTTCCACCTCAGCTTTCTAAGTAGCTGGAACTACAGGCATGAGCCACCATGCCTGGTTATTTTTTTTATTGTTATTATTATTGTAGAGATGAAGTCTCACCAAGTTGCCCAGGCTGGTCTTGAACCCGTGGGCTCAGTCAGTCCTCTCACCTCAGCCTCCCAAAGTGCTGGGATTATAGGTGTGAGCCACAGAGCCCAGCCAAAAAGATCTTTCAAAACATGTGTCCCTATGTGAGTATCAGACACTATAGTTTAGTTGCTTTTTTTTTTTTTAAGAAAAGGAGATTTTTCTATTAGACAGTTTAGGAGTTACTGAAATAAATAGACAAGGTATAGATAGACATCCTCCTTAAACCATTGCCCATGCAATTTAGCCTTTCTCAGTGAACCATCAGGCAACCCAACTTGGAAGCAATAATACTGATGTAATTGCTAAACCTAAAATAATAGCTACATGGCTTAGTTCTTAAGTTCTGGAAGATGATAAAAAGCCAAAGCAGGAGTTCTTGCTAGACCTGTTTATTTCAATATTCGCCTTAGCACCTTGATCCTCTGTGATTTATGAAAGGAGAATGGGCTTAGCAATTAACCAGGTTCCACCCCTGTGCCTTGCCTTTCACATTTTACCCCGCTGGTCTCAGAACTGAGACAAAGGCTGACTTGGGCTTCATCGGTTCTTGATTCCCTCAGCTCTACGGGAAACAGTGGAAGGCAATCATGAATGGGAAACAAAGGTGGAATTTGTAGTAGTAAAAATCTCCAGGACCTGTGTTAAGAGTAAAAGTAGAAGCCAGGCACAGTAGCTTACGCCTGTGATCCCAGCAATTTGGGAGACTGAGGCGAGAGGACTGAGTCCAGAGGTTCAAGACCAGCCTGGGCAACTTGGTGAGACCTCATCTCTACAAGAAACCAAAAATTAGCTGGGCATGTTGGTGCATGATTGTGGTTCCAGCTACTTGGAAGGCTAAAGCGGAGGGATTACCCGAACCAAGCAGGTCAAGACTGTGGTGGCTGTGAGCATGCCACTGCACTCCAGCCTGGGTGACAGAGTGAGACTCCAACTCAAAAAAAAAAAGAGTAAGAGTGGGGATGACTAGATAGTAAGCTCAATATACATAGGGAATTTCTTCCGTTTTCCACTAGACGCCATAAACTAGTGCCTGGCATATAATACACATTCAATAAATAAATGCATGCCAATGAGGAAAGGCACTTGCTAAATTTCTTTAGGTACAAAGAGGTCAGCAAATGCCAACCAGATTTTAATCTCTCATTTCAGGCACATTTTATAGAGACCTTGACAAATTAACTATGATTTTTAAATCAACCTAACTATAAATACTCTCTTCCCTTACTTTGAAATTTAGCTTTTATGTTTCTCTCTCTCCAAGAATATTTTTTGCTTTGTGTTTGTGTGTTTTTTTTAAGTTGAATGTCTTGCTATGTTGCCCAGGCTGGTCTCGAATTCCTAGGTTCAAACAATCCTCCTGCCTCAGTCTCCCAAAGTGCTAGGATTATAGGCATAAACCACCACACCCAGCCTCTAAGAATTATTATGATGGAAATAGCAAAGCCTTCTTTTCACTTCTGCATTTCATAATAATTGCGATCATTTACCTAGGGTTTGCTATGTACCCAGCTACTATGTATACTGTTCAAAGTCCTTTTCATATTAACTTACCTAATTGCATCACATAAATTTTTTTTTTTTTTTTTTTTTTTTGAGTCGGAGTCTCACTCTGTCGCCCAGACTGGAGTGCAGTGGCCACTCCCGGCCACCGCAGCCTCGACCTGCTGGGCTCCGGCGATCCTTCCGCCTCAGCCTTCCAAGTAGCCAGAATTACGGGCATGCGCTATGACGCCCGGCTGATTTTTTGATTTATTGTAGAGATGAGGTCTCGCTGCCCAGGTGGGTCTCGAACCCGCAGGCTCAGGCAATCCACTCACCTCAGCCTCCCAAAGTCGCGGGATTACAGGCTGCACCACCGAGCCCAGCTACATAAATGTTTTAAAATATCAACTCAAGAAGGAGCTCTTGAAGAGGTAAAAAGTACCTACTAGAGAAAGCCCAAGACACCAAAAGAAACTGTATTTGCATAATGCCTACTATATCTCAAAATCCTTAGCTGAGGCCACCTTTCTAGTTAAGGAACCCTAGTGGCAGAGAAAAAATGTTCTTGGGTCTGAATCTTTAAGGCACCCTGGGAAAGCCTGACTTTTTTTTTTTTTTAGCATTGTATTTTATTTTTGAAATTCACCATAGATGTCAGATTAGTAAGGAAGTACTGACTGGGAGGTGGGGCAAGGGAGCTTTTGGGGTACTGGAAATATTCTATATCAAATCTTGATGGTCATAATATGAGTGTACACATATGTAAAAATCCATTCACTGAGGTATACACTTGAAATTTGTACGCTTTATGAAAGTTATACTTTAATTAAAAAGAAAAAATCAATTAGCAGATTCTCTCTTCGAGGATACCACTCTCTTCAAGAGCTTCAATGATTATTTTTATGTTTGTGGCAAGGTCAGAAATTTTTTTTTTTTTTTTTTTTTTTTTGAGTTGGAGTCTCACTCTGTCGCTCAGACTGGAGTGCATTGGCCGCTCCTGGCCACCGCAGCCTCGCCTGCTGGACTCCGCGATCCTTCCGCCTCAGCCTTCCAAGTAGCTGGAATTACAGGCGCACACTACCATGCCCGGCTAATTTTTTAATTATTGTAGAGATGAGGTCTTGCCAAGTTGCCCAGGCAGGTCTTGAACCCTGGGGCTCAGGCAATCCACTGATCTCAGCTTCCCAAAGCGCGGGATTACAGGCTGAGCCACCGAGCCCGGCTGGGTCAGAAATATTGAAACACAGGCTGTGCGTGGTGGCTCATGCCTGTAATCCTAGCACTTTGGGAAGCCTAGGCAAGAGGACTGCTTGAGTCCAGGAGTCTGAGATCAGCCTGGGCAACATAAGCGAGACCTCATCTCTACAAAAAAATCCAAAAATTAACTGGGCCTGGTGGCGTACACCTGTAGTTCCAGCTATTCAGGAGGCTGAAGCAGAAGGATCGATTGTCTGAGCCAGAAAGTCAAGGCTGTGGTGAGCCATGTATGTGCTACTGCACTCCAGCCTGGGTGACAGAGTGAGACCCCGACTCAAAAAAAATAGAAATATTGAAACACAGATAATCAAGGTCTTCTTCCTTTCCAAAATAGTTTATGCAAATTGTGCATTCTAGTCCACAATATATTAGTATTTCCTTTAATAGAAATTATTTTTTTTCCAAATTGTCAAGTAAGATTGATCTCAGAAAGATGTACCCTGATCATCCCATGGCTTGGAGAAACACTTGGCCTCCCTTGTGGTGCTCATGAACCAGTCTGGAAAACAGCAAAGAGGGGTCTCAGTTAGGGTCCCAAGACAATCTCTTCAGGAGTCTGCCAGATGAATACTAGCCAGATGTTTGCAAATTAAGTTAAAATCTCTGTCCTAGCCTTCAGAGTATTTAAATGTAAACTTCAAAGTAAACTTGAGCTTTTCCTTGGAATATCCACATTGTCACATCTGAAAACCAAGTTCACAGGGCAGCTCAGCAGAGAAAGAAATATTCGTCTTTTTTCTCCC